CGCTTGCACAGAAGGTGGTGAAACCACTGAGCTAAATCCCCAGCCCCTTAAATTCTTTTATTGGTACACAATATGCTTTCATTTATCATTGGGTGCTTGTACCTGTACATGATGTATCTTGGGTCTTATTTTTTTCCCCATTACCTGTGACCCTTCCCAATTTATATAGACTTCGTTTCCATTTTTTTTTTCTTTTCTCATAGTTTTTCCTTTCCCTTCTTTCCTTTCCCCTGCCCCTCCCACTACTCCTACCCCCTTTGGACCTGGAAAATATTAATTTTTTAAAGTATTATAAGTGGGTTTTAAATGAATGTAGAAGGACTAATTAAAAATTGGTAAAAATTAATTTTTTTAAAAAGACTGAAATGTGGAACAGAATTGCCACAAAGTTTTCATTAGCTTAATTCTAGCTCCATAAATGTTACTAGTCAATAATAAGCCAAAGAATAAAACATTATAGTCTTTTGGACAAAGGAAATCAAAATGTTAAAAGTTATACTAGGGAAATAAAATCAGTATTATATAAATGTTGAAAGGTATGACAATAAAATAAGCTATATCTCATTCAATAAATATGAAGTAGAACATACAGAACACAATTTCAAAACGAATCAGAAATAATTATGACCTTAGCAAAATTAGAATATCAGATTAATTTCCTTAAAGAAGACCAGGGCATGGGAAGGAAGAAAAGAATAAACCCAACAACTGAATTTGGAAACATTGGAATAAAAGCAGTAAGAAAGGAGGAAAATCCTGAAAACCACAGTAGAAACCTGCTACAGCTGAGACAGCATGATTTCAGAAACACCTCAAACGGCAGTTTTCTTTAGCAAAGCCAAAATCCCCAGGTGAAAACAAAGTCCTTTCTTTTCAAGAACATCTGGTAGAGAAAAACTGGGAGTACAAAGTACAAATGAAAAGTACCAAGAAAGAAAGTTGGAAAGGTTTCACCTGAGGGAAACAAGAGAGGGTTTAAAATGCCTGTTGAACAGCCTGAACTTAACCTAGCGAAGTAGCTGCTACAGGACTCTTAAGCAGGAAAAACAAGGTCACAGCAATATTTAGCCAGATCCTTCTAGTATCTGAGTACAGAATAGATCTCAAGCTACAAGAGAAGGTGTCACAGAGAGAGAGAGCGCTAGGTGTTACCAGCTTACAGATGAGATTGCCAAGAGACAGCATTAAGAGCAGATTTTGATCTGGAAAACCATGAATGGGTTTTAAGAAATCCAGTTGAGTACAAAATTTTTTTTAATTGTGAGTTTTTAAATTATATTAAGCTAGTGTTTAATTCCAAGCAAATCTAAGAAAGCAGTGCCTTAACAGTTTTACTTTTCAAGAATGTAAAATTGTTGTAACTACTATGAAAGAGTACTCATTAACATGTTTATCATCTGTCTCTAGATATCAAACCTAGCATAGGTTAAAAGAAAAAAGAAAATAAAAAGTTTGTATGGCTTTTAGCTTAACTTCTCCCAAAAGATATTTTACCAAGTGAGGATAAAGCCAAAGAAGTTCAAAGAATACATTTTTGTCCTGTAAATACAGCAGTATAGATGTTTGTGACAAGGAATGATAAGAAAGGGTGGTATTTAAAACAGACTTACTCAAATCCAAAATCCCTTATATATTTTACTAATTTCGCTGCTGCACCTGAAGAAGTCACACACATTATGATAAAGAAATCAATAGTCTCTGCAGTTTAGAACAGAGGTTTCAGCCCAGGTCACTCGGCCTCATTACAGACCTGTGGTAAGGCAGAACACATCATAGCAGGAAGGGCATAGTGAAGCAAAGCTGTTCACCTCACTGAGACTAGGAGTAGAGAGAAAAAGAGAGAAGGGGGCTCAAGACAAGACATATACATACTTCAAGGACACACTCTCAGTGACCTACTTCCTCCCACTAGGTCCCACCTCTTAAATTTTCTATCATTTCCCAATATTCCATTAAGTTGTAAACCCACCAATGGATTAACTCACTGATGAGGTCAGAACCCCCACGATCCAATCACTTCCCAAAGGCTGAACCTCTGAACTTGGCTGCACTGGGGGTCACACCTTCAACACAACAGTCTCTGGGGAACATTCCAGAGCCAAACCATAACATGCCTTTCTCCAGGTCTACGATATCCATCTCAAGGCAGCTGAGATGTCATCTCTCTAGGCAAGTACTCTTACCATCTCCTACCACAAAGTTGGATTAGATACCTTTCTCCTATTCCTCAGTAGTTTGGGTACCTCTATCAAGGTTCTTGTGATAAGGTATCAATGCTATCTTTACCATTTGTGAACTCAATACTATGTCTTTCAATTACCCAATGATTAAGAAGTCCTGGCTCATAAAAGACTCTGAAGTTCATTAAATGAATACATATATTTGTATTCCCTATTGTAACTTAGAAATAAGAAGTAAAGAAGGAAAGTAAGGAAATAAGGAGTAAAATCTGACTTGGTAATTAGGCTACTTCCCTCCTTGCGATGTTCTCATTATTCAATGGGAAAAACACTCATTATTAAAATATCCTAACAAAATGATAAATTTTTGTAATACCAGAATTTCACTTATCAATTACAATGACTTCCTTTTAATCTTGTATAGTATTTATAAGTGTTTAGTTGGGTAAAAACATGAAATAGATAAAATTTAATCTATCCATAAAATTTACATTAGCAGCAGGTAAAATTTAATGACTGCTTTCCGTATACCTTGAATTAGTACTAATTGTACGTGTTGATTCCATGTACTGCCACAAACATTCTATTACGTTGATACTGTTACAATCTACCTCCTTCTCTATTAAGACAGGAAAACTAGTGATTAAAAGGATACAGTAAGGCCAGGGATTTAGCTCAGTGGTTCCAGTGCCTGCCTCACCAAGTGCAAGGTCCCGAGTTCGATCCCCAGTACCCCCCCCCCAAAAAAGAAAGGGGTACAGTAATTTACCAAGAAGAAGTAAAGCTGTGTCTAAGACACTTTATATACTATATTGCCTCTAGCTCTACTTATTCAAAAGACTCAAGAGATAATTAATAATTAATCCCTTGGAACGAATCAAACTCAGGGCCTTGAGCATGCGAGCCAGGTGCAGCGCCACTGAACATGCCCAGTCATCCCTTGGAAAGGTTTCAAATATATCTGTATTTCAGAAATGAATCTGTGATGTTTTATAACACCAAATACATACAAAAGGATATACTGTATTGATTGATCCACATTAAATGGCATTCCAATAAATAATAACTCAGTCCTCTCACATGAAATTTTCACTGGTCAAACAATCTATTATCCTATCAATTTTCAAGATGAATTTTCAAAGTAGTACTCAGCACCTAGTGTTTCTACTTGAATGAGAAACACCTAAGCATCCATTCCACTTTATACAGTAATACAAATATTGAGCACAAAGGTATCCTACCACCACTTGAAGTGATAATCATAAAAACAGAAGAACATTTTTAAAAACAGTACTCCTATCTTTACATTTTCTCTCACTGTAAGGAACATTTTAGAATCTAAAGCAGGCATTAAATATTTAGAAAAGGGGCCGGGGATTTAGCTCAGTGGTTTCGCCGCCTGCCTGCAAGGACCCGAGTTTGATCCCTGGTACCAAAAACAAAAAACAAAAAAACCCAAATATTTAGAAAAGGATTGCAAATATTCTCTGTACAGGCCCAGCAGTCCATAAGGTCTCTCTTGTAACTACTCAACTCTGGCACTGTAGTGCAAAAGCAACACACATAATATACAGCAAGCCAAGTATGCCTATGATTCAATACAATTTTATAAATAAGAATAGGTAATGGGTTGGACTGACCCACAGCAGCAGTCTGCTAACCTATGGTTCAATGTGCTCATTCAACTCTGTACATACCACCCAATTAAATTCATAAGATAACAACACGCACATCACTTCCTATTTTGCTTCCCCAAAAACCTCTAGATTATGAATCCAATTCATACTAAAACATACACAATGCTTTACAAAGTATGACAAATGTTTACAATCCCTATCTTTTTAAAGAACTCTTACAAGAAACTTAATTAACATAAAACATGATATCATGTATTTTTTTGTAATCTCATGAAATACGGCAACAGCTATAGTTATCTAAATAAAGTACAAATACATTGGACTGCTTTCCTCACTTCAGTTTATTACTGTTTTTTAAAGAATTCTTTCAAACATTATGCCAAATTTGTTTTAAGGTTTAAGAATTAAACATTACTATATTAAACTAAAATGGCTAAGTTAATTTTCAATTATTATTTTAAAGTAAATTACTACTGTTGGTCTTTCAAGCACTTTTACAAATACAGATCTGCCTGTTTTCCACTATGAAAATAAGAATCTTGTCAGAAAGTTTAGGAAATTTCACTTTTGTTTCATAGAGAACAATGAAGATAAAAGGAAGGCAAAAGGAGAAAATAGTGACTGAAGAAATGATCTGCAAATGCCTGATGGATTAAAGTCAACAATAAGTATATAAAAATTCTCTACCACATTCTGCTTTTTAGCTCATTCAACAAATAATTAGGTGCATGGGTAGAAGAAGACAAAGTATTAATAAGTCTCAGTCTACAAGTACTTTCATTAAAAGCAGGCATCTACAATTGCTATGCCAGACAAATTTTCAACTGTTCTCTTCAGAAACAAAATGAGAATTTCCATTTTAACTTCTATTTCCCATTTTTACAAAAATTCCAAGGCAAGGGGCCGGGGATTTAGCTTAGTGGTTCCACCTCCTGCCTTGCAAGTGCAAGGTCCCGAGTTCGATTCCCAGTACACCCCCCCCCAAAATTCTAAGGCAATAAAGATCTTTGGGAATGAATATATACCTTCAACCCATAGGGTAGTGTTCAATAACAAGTATTACCATAATAGTGTATTATGTTATTACCTTTAATGAATGTGATTAGTTATGGCATCAGGAAATAAAATTGAAATGCTGCATCCTAAAGTAATTTTCTGAAAGCTGAAAAATGTTATGTTTTTCCACTCAACAAATTAAGAGGGCTGGCTGGGGATTTGGCTCAGAAGTGGCACACTTACTTAGCATGTGTGAAATCCTTGCCTTATTCCCCAGTACCAAAAAACCAAAAACAAAACAAGTGAAAAGCAACAATACCAAACTCAAATATCTTCTTCAAACCATCATCAGGTATTTCAAAGAATGAGATGTTAAAGGAAACCATAAGCAAAGACTGTTAGCCTTACAATTTTTAATATCTTTAGTATCTATTCAAAGAGCATTTTCCCACATTAGCAAATAGTTTTTTAAAAAATAACAGAAAATAGTATATTTAATAATTTCTTATAATTTGCTTAACTCACTTGAGAAATGCCCTTAGTTTAGTTACAACGATTATATGACATTTAATAAAATGTCAAACTGCATATTTGGTATGATATTGAGAACTACACTTATTCATTCTGTAGATCCATAATGCAGTGTGACTATGCTACAGATCCTTTAACTTTCCAAACATGGATAAAAAGTAACACTTTTAAAAATTACTTACAGTAAATATCCGTCTACCAGTTCGATCAAAAGTTACACAGTACACAGATGACAAATGTCCAAGAATTCGTTTATGCATCTTCATGTGCTGATACACTGCAGTTGGAACAAGTTGCTCAAGTCTATACTTCCCATTCAGCTTCCTTGAAAACAGAGTATCCGCTACCAAGAAAACGGGAGAAAATAAATATAACCTGGAAATAGATTTTCTTAATTATCAGATTTTAAGAATTTATTTATCTTAGTTTGTCCTAAAATTGCAAAAATGCTTCTAATTAAAAGTCGTTCAAGTAGTAAATGGAAACATACTATTTCATCAAAAGTAAGTTAGGTCAGTCAGTATTCTCAATAAGCAAATGCAGTTAACTGACCTGTTCAAAGTCAGTAAGGCACAAAGCTAGGATAAAACCTAGACTTAATTTTTGCTAGAGTCCTTTAAAACAGAAAACCATTGTACATATTATTTCTTTACAAGCCTAGTGGTTAAAGACAGTTTTTCTTCAAAACACAGTGAAAACTAGAATCCACCAATGATTTTTTTGTTTTGTTTTTGTACCAGGGATCGTAACAATTTCTATTTTCCATCAACCAGTAATACTTGAACACTCTAAATATGACACACAGAATGATTAAGAACTCTCTGCAACACATGAATATGGAAGTCACTTCATGATTAAAAAGGAATAATTAAACTGGGAATCTAACCAAATACCTATACAATGAATCCTTCTCCAGAATTCATTAAGCTCACATTTTTCAATTCATTCAAACCATCCACCAAAATCTAACGGAAGCTTTTCTGACTCAAAGCTTGATATACATCAATTCCAGCCTAAATGCTCTCTCATCTACATTGCTATTGTACTTATTTTCTATACTGATACCTTATGGCCAAAAAGGTGCTCAATAAATATTATATGTTGACTGATTTGCAGGCACATTAACCTATAGATTCTCTTTTAACAGAAAGTATTTTATCCCAACAGTAATGTCATCTACATTGACTAGTTAGCAATACAATTTCTCACCTGAATTTCGTACCAAAGAAAATGAAACATATATACAAAATACTATTTGACTCAGGTTTAGTTAATTATGCCCCCAAGTTGATAAAACCAAGTATCTTAGTTGTATCTCAATACTCTTCCTCTATATCCAATAAGTAGCTCACACCTCATGTGCTGAAAGGGGGGAGTGCTCATGAGGAGATAGGAAAATTGATGCTTTGTAGATGTAGAGGAACAATGTCAAAGAAAAATTACACTGTGCTTATGTTTTTTTACCACAGCAATCGTTTTATATTCTAAGAATACTTCTGCTGTTAACATAAATTCTAGAAGCAACAATCTATTCTAATGCAGTACCTGGGAATGTCTAAGAGAAGGTCTGACAGCTGTGATTTTGCATATTTAGGTTTAAGCTGGTTATACAATAATTTACAGACTCAGTATGTTCCCATCACCACTTAGCTTCTGACATAATTTTTCTTATACAAATTGTCCAGAAGATATCCTCCAATATTTTTGCTCCAAACTGACCTCATCCAAGAATCACACAAAACCAGAGACGTAACTTTCCTGCCAAAAATCATCTTTTCCAATTCCCAAGGACCACTGACATCTTAGACTCACCTGTCTATTCTAAGAAAATAAGTGAAGACTATCAGACAAATGGTGACAATGTTATCAAGATATATTTTAATTTGATTCAAAATTTACAATTTTCAAAATGATTTTTATGAAAACACTTAACACTAATCGGTTATAAAAATATGATTGGAGATAATGAAAACATCCAAACTATGATTTAACAATGATGAGCAAGTCCTAGTTTGTGTGTGTGTATTCATCTCAAAACAATTTAAATGTATTTTACAAAAATCTTTTAAAAATCAGAGCTGATAAAATATTGCCTCCACAAAAATATACTTCCTTTACATGTAAGGAAATGTTACTGCTGTCTTAAGCATAATTTTTATTCACTCTTTAAGCAAAGCTAATTTTCATTTTGGGAATCAACTGAAAAAATACTCTTTCAAAAATCACTTTACAGTCAACTTTTCAAGTAAAACTTTCAGAAACACATTAAAAGTGAAATATAATAAAACAATAACTCACATCACTCTTTTGAAATCCTTAGCTACCAACTAATAAACAGTACCTATAACATGACTGTATCCTAACATAGAAGGACCTTAGAAAAGTCCTTGCCTTCAACCAATTCACAAACATGTATAACAACACTAAAAGTAAGACATACTGAAAGAATGATATGTAGAGTTCCCAGGTAATAGGCTGGTGGTACAAACCTGCTAACTACAGTAGTTTAAGCAGAAAATGTAAAATATGGTTCAACGGGTGAAGTACAACTGAGGCTGAATTTAGGAAGGCAAGACCAGATCAAATAGGTAAATAATTTTTACAAAAGTAGAAAGCAGAATAATCTAGAACTTACATTCAATGAACTCATTTTCTTTTATTATATCATTATCATAACATTTATCATTAATAAAGAACAGAAATTCTCTTGTACAGTATTTCTCACAAGTGTAAAGATTTTTAAACAAAAAGGTGTAAAATACTTCTTGGTTAACAAGATACACAGTTTATAAAACACAAATGGCAATTATTCACTTTGTATTAATACTAGAAGAAGTATATTTCTGAGGAAAAAGGAAATGTCTCAGATTATAGAAGTCCTTAAATTTTATTAAGCTAAAACATCAATTGTTAAAATGAGCATGGTAAAACAGAAATAAAAGGCAAACAGAAAGTTCCTCATATAACATTTAGTTTTAACCTTAAATTAAGTAGCATACACAACCAGTTTAAAAGTATATTCATTTTTCTAAGTATGACGATGGGGAAAATCCAAAGTAATTTTAAATCTTTTGCACTCAGCGATTTTTCTTACCCTGCAGGTCTATGAAGTTACCTGTTCTAGGAAAGACTGGTGAATTTCAAATGTAGTCTAACTTGTTGCCCTTTAACATGCCTCATCTGTTCAAAACTCCAATGTTCCTAATTTCATTAAAAATAAAGTATCAAGTCCCTTAAGCTTCTGAAAAAAAGGGGGGGGGGATACTGAAAACTGTCATTTGCAGCAAATCATTCAGAAATAAAACTTTTTGAAACAAAGTCTATATACATGAGTCTACAGAAATAATCACCAGAGATGAACAAAAAGCCCACAATTTCTCATGCTAACTCTTAAATGTTAGCTAAACTACATATGTAACTAGGCAGTTGATTATCCATTATTTACCTAGGTAAATTTTTATTTTTAACTCTCCAACAACTCATTTCTTACTAGTTCACATGCTGTATTTTTCAAGAATTTATTGTTCTAATTTGAAAAATAAGACCACGAATGAGATCACAACTCATCATTCTACCAAAGCAATCACCTTACAAATTTTGCAAGTTTTCCTCATGAACAAAGTTTTGACAACTATGCTTTTTTTAAAAAAAATAAATTAGGCTATATTAAGTCTGACAGAATTGCATTCAAATATACTGCAGAGACTTTGAGCAAGTGTTAAGTTTGTTTAAAAAAAAGTAGGCTTTAAGTTTGACAATCTGTCTTCAAATATACCAGGGAAACTTTACTGAAGAATCTTTCCAACTTCCACAACAATCTGACATCCCACAATTTCAAATTTTACACTCATCTATATCAATATTTCTCCTGTGACTACTTCTCCTTCAATATGAAGGCTTCTCTTACTCAAAGAGTATAATAAATCTCCAGTTTAAATTTTCTTTATACCTTATCTTTTTTTGGAGACAGGATCTCACTATGTAGTTCTGGCTGGCCTTGAACTCATTATGTAGCTCAGATTGGTCTCAAACTCAGTGATGTTCTTGCATCTGACTCCTGAGTGCTGGAATTACAGGGGTACACCACCACACCCAGCCTACTCAAATTTTCTTTTATTTCTTTGTGGCTTATATTTCTCAATTAACTTTTTAATGTATCTACAATTTTAAAACATACTGTTTTAAGTCTCTAAAGCTATTTTTTTTCTCCCTCAGATATTTACTCCAGCCTTTCCACTTACTAATCTTTCTTCTGTTGAAGTGTGATTACAACACCTTATATACATTTATGTACTAGGCGAGTGACATGTCTTACAGTTTATTTATATTCCATTACCAAAAATCTTAATTTTATAGTTAATGCTTTAATATTTATCTGGGTATTGCTCATTATGAGCCTTTCTATAATGTCTTATTCTTGATTAATAACTATCCTTAAAGATAACTGAAAAGTTAAAACTGTCAGAAATGTAAATTTAGTATCATTTGCTGACAAACTGACAATATTTTATCCATCAACATGGCACTTTCATATCCAAGTTTCAATGCAGATGATTTTAGAAAAAGATGAACATAATAAAAATTATCCCAGTTTCTCTCATCATACAAACACTGTATGACCATAAAAACCCATGGTAAACTGCCATAAACTACAAAATCTTCAATAAACTTAGTAATTACATCTTTGAGGATAGTAGAAAAAAATTCCCAAGTTAAAAGCAGCAAATATTCTAGAGAACAAATACTATCATCTCCCTCCAAAATGTTTAGATTTTTTTCCTCCTTTTGCAGAGTACTTTGTATAGGTAAATACAGGCAAAAGTCAACAAATTATCCAAGATCAAAAATCAAGTATAATTTTTAAAAGATTTTTTAAAAAATAAAATTACTGTGAATTAACAAAAATGCAGAGGTTACTGTTTTGTTATTGGTGTTTTGTAACTGTCAAGAGAAATGTCACAGGGGCCAGGGATTTAGCTCAGTGGTTCTGGCACCTGCCTCGCAAGCACAAGGTCCAGAGTTAGATCCCCGGAACCAAAAAAAACAAGAGAAATGTAACAGGCTATATATATATGTATACTCCAATGAAGGAAAGTTCTTCTCTCTCATTCAGTCAGACCTGGAGGAATCCTCCGGGACTAATGCCTACAATTTCTATCAACTCAGGAAAGCAGAGTCCTGCTGGCAGCATAACGAAGGCAAGAAGCATGTGACTATGGATTCTAAAACCTGGATAAATAATTTTTGTGACAGAGTAATTTGGTAAGTAGATAATAAGATGACAGAAATATGTAACTAAAAAGGTATCTCAGTACAGCTATGGTCCTTTTCTGATCAAAAAAA